CTCGCCGCTGCCTCGCAGGCGGGGAGGTGGTAACTTGCTTGCTCAGAGATGGTTTTGGACTCGCTGGGAGATCTCTGAGCGAGTGAGTGAGCCACCACCATGTGCGCCCGATGCTGCCTCGCATGTGCCCGACGGTGCCTCGCCACCCCGCGCCCCCAGGCGCCCCCACCTCACTGGCCCGCGATGGTCACCACAGCCTTTCAACTGGCCCCCTATTCAAAAAGTTTGAGGACCCCTGCTCTAACATTTAACTGAAAAATATGTAGTTGGTGTTAATAAGTATTAAACTGCATCACTATCCAGAGTATACAGTTTGCATTTACATAGTTTATAGTTTTATATTATAGAGCACTTGGTATAAATGAGCATATCTGGAATTTTGAGGGTGTGCTGTGCGCAGTCTCACAAAATTGCTGTAATGGACATCCACAAAGAGAGGCTCCAAATAGCCTCCACCCTTTAGTTTTGTTTGACAGCTGTCAAAATAGGAGCTTTCAAGAGAAACCAACAATGTGATACATTTGTGCTTGTGGCAGGATTTACAAGCCCTTCATGCCATCTATTTCAGGGAAGGGGCTCAACTGTCCTCACTGTTTCTGAGAATCTAGTGTTCAGTAACATGGAAAAATGCAAGCCACACGCTTTTAAAAAGAAATGGTGTTTTTGAGAGCTAGCTGTTAAAACTTGGATTCGTTCTGTTCTGTTTTGAAAGGGCTCCCCATAGTTTTTACACAGGGGCACATGCAGCCATGAATGCTTATGTCCCAGTGAAAATAACATGGGGAACCCTGTCAAAAAAATTGCCATGGGGTCCCTCATGGGGAGGGCAGCAGGCTTTATCACTCTTGCCAAGTGGCTTGCTACTCCCTTCTGGGAACTTGGTATTCTTTTCAGTGTCAGGTAAAGACCTTGTTTATTCTCACAGAATTTCAAAAATTTAACATTTTAACTTCATTTTAATACTGCATTTTATTCTGTACTGCTGCTATGCTTCTGTGCTGATTCAATTGCAATAGCTATTGCAGTTTTGTTGCTTTCACTTTTATCTTGTAGGTGTTTGTTTTACATTTTTCTTAACTTTGTTAACCGCTCAGAAAGCCTTGGCTACTGGGTGGTAGAAAAAGGAAACAAGCAACCCAATTTTCTTCCCAACCTTTTTGTGTTAGGCTTTTGTATCCAAAAGCAGGTAAAGCAAGACACCTGGAGCTGTGCTCAGCTTCCTGAGACGGGAACCAGATCACCACAAATGACAGAAAATCCATTACTGTATTTTTATCTAGGGCCTCCCTAAATCCAAGAGAAGTAATTGTGGTGGCAGCTGCTGAATCTGGCTAGAAGGCAAAGCAGCTGCGGTAGGCCTGCACCATGAAGGTCGCACCACCACTGAGCCTCAGGGGTGAGCCTCTCTGTAAGTCATTGCAAGGCAGGCTTAGCAGAGTCTGAAATCAGGTGTGCACATGCCAGTTCTGTGAATTTTGCCTGCATTATGGTTAAATGAAGTTAGTGTTTGCTACTTCTTCTTAAAATTTGTTTTCAGACTTTGCTGCTGAATTATAAAGCTATAAGAAAGCTTGGGGAGAGGGGCGCAAAGCTCTAATATGTCCATTCTGCTTATAAAATGACAGTTGTCAAGCATTCTTATCTTGAATTGCAGAATCAAGAAAGAAGCATAATGCTAGATTGAAATATCAGTACCATAGCAACAGGATAAAAACTCTTCTCAATCTTGGTGTGGGGCTAAGTAAAATCCATGTATCACAGGAAACATCTTCTAAGATAAGTACTTGTACAAAATGTCAGCTTAAAAATCCTTCAACTTTTTGAGGGATGAATTGTTGAGCTTCGTTGAATATTTTGCACGAATACATGCTTCATTTATAAAACTATGGTCCAATATACTTGTAACAGGGACCACTATACGTAGTTTGAGTTGAGATGGAAATCAGCATTACGTGTATCAAGAAGCTATCTTATGCAGCAGTGGAAATATTCAAGAAATAGCCTGAGGAACAAGATGGGGAGTGCCACACCCATATCTCATTCTTCCTCAAAACCCAGTTTGCAAAATAAATTATTCATTCCACTTAGACTTGGTAGCTGAATGAGGCCATTCCAGAAGGATAAGATGAGCTGTAACTCAAGTTTAGATCTCCCAATAGAGTCTTATGCTATTCACTGGGTTCTCAATAGATTTTATATATTTTCTCTCAAGAAGTTTTAAATTTATATAATGTGCTGTAGGTACATTGATTTATAAGTGACTTTTTCATTTACACACACACACACACACACACAATTTTTTAAAAAGCTTTCCTATGTCCATATATTAGATACTGTTCCCTCTGTTCACTCCTCTGTACAGCCACAGAGAATGCTTTATGTTCTACATTTATAGAAAAATAACTGCCAATTATCTTCTTGATTTATTTCCCTCTCCTATCTGGAAGAATGAACTTCTATGTTTTGCATTCTATGGTTTCATCAACTGCGGATGATGCTCACTGGGACTGATGGGGCAGAAGAAAGGGCAACTAACCAAAGGCAGAAACATTGTAGGCAAAATCTAAAAGTCTGTTCCACAGCAGGAACCAATTATACAGAATAGGCAAACTGAGGCATGCAAGATCATTAGCTCAGAACAAAAGATGTATGGTGTGTGTATGTCTCTGAACCATACAGCAACACAGAAGCACCCCTCTGAGCCAACAGCTCTCTCTTTTACCACCAGTCTACACAGGTGAAAGCAAACTAAGGCAAGTAATTTCAAGATCATGAGTGCCAAGCAGAAGTTGAGTGGCAGGGAGCTCAGGCACTTTTTTCCACTTTTTTCTGCTGCACCAGTAACCCATTGTGCAAAGGCTAAGTGGGGCAAGTAACTTCCAGGAAAAAAGAAAAAATATTGAGAAAGGGGGCAAAGAAAAAGGAATATTAGGAAATATAATAAGGCATGGGGGATCTTATGGCATCTCATATACAACCCAAAATTGCTCTTTCACACTCCAAGATGCCATTTTTTTAAGAACAGAAAAGCACACACACTCACATGACCTCGGGCCTCCAGTTAATTTTTTAAAAAATAAATAACAGCTAAGACTCCAAGCTCACTCCCCGCTCAAAAAAGCTTCCAAAGTGCATGCATGTGGGCACACACACTGGTTACAGGTAACTCTGCTTCTTGCCCTCCAGTTCCTTTCTCAATCAATCAGCAGGCACAGGAAAGGTTAAAAAACCTACACTCTACATTGATGCATTGTAGGCACCTGAAAGGGTCAACCACTACAAATACAAATATCTGGGTTCTGATTTGCTCTGCTGATGCCAAACAGGACCAAATATGAAAATCCATTGGTGCAATCCTGCTAGAGACTCTGTCCACCATCCTACCTGAGAGAACATGGGAGTGAAGAAAGGAAAGACACAAGACAGTTTGTAGGTATGCTCAAAAGCACCAGCCAGCCAGGCCCCACCCAACCACTGCCAGCACCACCACAGACCAGGAAAGAAGAGAGGAAAGTATGGGCCAGCACTGCTCTTCTCTTGAGATGTGAGAACAAATGGGCTTTGCTTGACAGTTCAGCCCCTGCCCTGTCCCCTGTATTTAATACCAAGTTGCCTCTCAAGTGCAAGGACTGAAATGCAAATTTTAATGTGACAAAATTGTCTTCGATACTCAAGGAGTCTAGATGACGCAGAAAACACTTAAGAAGTCACCAGGATCATTCTTGCTTGCCGCAATGTATTCTCCAAGCTATAATATGAAAACTGACCCCATTTCAGCTGGGCAGAGATTCAGTCATGGATGGGTGACTTTAGAGAGTTATAAATAAGTCTGTGAAGTTACCTCTTCTCTCTCTTCCCCACCACAGGCCATGCAGTGGAACCAAAATTCAGGAAGTAGAATTGTGATTTTGCATCAGTCCCTTTATACACCTGTGAACAACTAGGTAAGCCTGCAAGGGCCACTGACATTTTGGAAGGACTGCCCACAGACCGCCCTCTGTTGTACCTTTACACCTTTCTACTAGTTTATTATCCCATATTCAAGACTATTAAAGGATCAAAGCTTTAATAAGGAATACTTTTACGATCTCATGCACTTAGAAGGCAAGCATGCATTTTGTTGGCCCACAAGATGAGAAGTGGTGCACAAATAGAAAATTACTGACCATGCTATTTCTAAGACTTATGTTCTGGATTATGGAACTGCATTATTAAATGGTGAATTCATAAAAGAAGAGGTTAACTGGTAATCATTGCCTTTCTTAAATTTATAAAGTTGGACACCTAGAACGTTTTTGGTAAGCATGAAGCATGCATTCTCAATGAACACTTGTCCAAGGTCGCTACCCTTTATTTTGATCAAGCTGTCTGATACCAAAAAAAAAAGCCAATTTTAGCATGCATATAGTTCCCTTCTTTATAACTTTAGCTTAGCAGAAAATATTTAAACTACATTATGATATACACTACACAATTCCCACCTAGTGACATGTTGCTGATTAGCCAGGGTTCAAACACATGCTGCTATCTGTTCAAAAATTAACAGACTGAAACATGGCTATTACAAACCTGAAGACGGTACAGTTTTTCTGTGTTTTGACAACTACAAATCAGGGACTCACAGGCATCCCTATGAGAAAAAGGTTCCTAAAACAGAGAAAGCTAGCATCTCTTCAGAAAGTCTAGGCTAGATAGAGCCTTCTACGGTCTGAACATTTTCCTACACAGAAGAGTATTTGATCATGCAGATCCCTCTCTTGCAATATGCACTGGTACAATAAAGACATGAGTTTACTATCCATCTACTGTTTGTGAGAACTCAGCCCACACATTTCCAACACATCTTCTAAGTGTCTACATGTACAGTAGTCAACCATGCTTGCATCAGTTTGGGGTGTACTATACAGTGACACAAATTCAGAGTGACCTGAATTTTATTTTTAAAAACTACATTATGACTGTCATTAACCTTTAAGTAGTGTACAGAGAAACGAACTTACAAGACAACGAGTGTGTGCCTTTGGGTAAGTATTCAAAGAGCAGGGAACTCTCCTCTCCCAGCATGTCAGCTTTCAAGGACAACAAGCTGTTTTTGCTCATAAGAGCTGCCCGCAAGTTAGCAACTGCCACAGCTTGAAGTGCATCCTCCTTTTCTGGTGTAAGTGCCTGAGAGAGATAACTCGCTTCTCCTCCTAGAAGTGCTTCATCGCCATTTGCATAGAGGTCCACTCTCTCTATTCTGTTGTTAGAGTTGCTGGGCTCTGCCCCTGTCAGATCCACACCTAAAAATAAAAATGTTAAAAGCAAAGTTAGTAAGTAGTCCAGAATTGAGACTTCTCAGCTACATGTGCATTCTTCATGTTCTCCTCATCTCTCAGTATCAGCACCAGTAACCTGTCTTAAAAGGAGGAAGGAACTGAGATAACTTCCTTTTGTAGTCAAATTCCATGCCCCACTTTATGGCGTTTTCCACTGACACTGTATTCATTCAGTACACACTATTCTAAAATTATGTAGTGATTGATGGAACAGACTAGACAGTCCCTCTTGCTTCCACAGACAGTGTCCCAGTGGACAAGCAGAACCTTACCCATCTTTCACCTTTTTAGTTGTTCATCTATCATTTATTAAAAACCACACATTGCTGTTTCTTAGTCATCTTTGAAAATTCTACATTTTTTCAGCATAACACTTCCCTACTTAAAAACTACATTATAAAGCAGTACTCTTGCTTCCTCCCTTTCCTATCTGGAGTACAGTTGCATAAAATGACAGCATGCCCTGGGCCTTGCAACCTCTTCCAAATATCAAGTAGCAAAGTGTGAGGAAGAGGCTGACAGTCTCCAGAGCAAGTTATTCCATGTAACACGTGGATACTGAACTGTCAAACATGCAGGTTAAACAGAACCTCAAAAAGGTTGTTAAATATTCCTTGAAAGCCATTTTTTAAAAAAGATAATAAATCCAGCAGAATTTCCATTTGCTTGGATTAAGCTTCAAAAGGTTAGCCCTCATCCACCCTTCACTCATCTCAAGAACTCAGCTTGATGGAAAGAAGAGAGATGAGTGTTTTCAGCAACCATATTTAATGATTCTACACTAACCTCTAACTCTACTAGAGATGCTTAAACACCATGGGAGCAAGATGGAACCTAGCAAGTCCAAGGCCATGGAAACAAACAGCAGCCCAACAGCAATATCCTCTGAAACTCATCTTCTAGAAATTATCACAACCATTGCAACAGTGCTTCCAAGATCTGTTAAGCAACCAACTTTTTAGAGTTCTTTTAAAATGTCAGTACACATGCAGATAGGGTGAGCTTGTTAATAGGAGAGACTGTGGCTCATTCAACAGAGATGAATAAAATTATGCACAGTGTTGAGAAAGTAAACAGGAAGAAATGTTTGCTCCTTTTCTCATCTGGGCTCAGCCAATGAAGTTGAATGGTTCAGGATTCAGGACAAATAAAAGGAAGTACTTCTTCACACAATTAAACAATGGAATTTGTTACTATTATTATTACATTGCATGGCATTACAAATGTGGACTGTGTATCTTTTCCAGTTGCTGGAGAACACCAGTGTGAGGGTAACATTGCTTTTGTCTCCTGCCTGTGGGACTTCCATCTGGGTGGCCACTGTATATACCAAATGCTAGACTAGATAGTTCTGATCCAATAAAACTCTTGCCAAGAATGCTATGGTCAATATCAAAAATCCCTGAGGTCCAGCAGAACTTGCCTGTCCAGGTCCAATGGGCCATGCAGTGCGTGATCAAGGTTATCTCAGTCCTATGAACAGATTACAAACCAGACTGAGTAGATCTAAATAGCAAGTCTTGTTCAGAAATCCCTGAACTGCCTTTCCCTTTGTCTTCTCTGGAGGTGAAAGACAAACTGTTTTCAAGTGCCTAGAAAACAGCAACCAATCATAGCGGCTGCACAACAGAATTATTTTCAGGTTTCTGTTATCCTGCCTCAGCATTCTTCTTCCACACCCACATCATAGAGCTGATGAACCAAGAATTGTACTGTCCAAGATTAAATTTACTGCTGCAATATGAAGAAGGGCAAGTCCATGAACTATGATACAATGCTGATAGAAGTTGACACAGATAAATGAAAAACTTAATTAAATTGTGGGAGCTGTATCTGAGACATGGCAGGAATACAAATTGAAAACCCTTCTCCATCTGCTGCTAGAGTACAGATCCAGGCAGTTATTACCAGAAACTCAGATTTAATACCTAAAATAGCGCTGCCATTTTTAAAAGGTTATTCAAATTATATTTTTGCTTATTAACCTCAAATGAAAAATGAAAATCAATAAACACTATTAGATATTAAAAAGAAACCTAATTTACAAAAGATTTTTCTCTGGTACTAAAAATAGGAGGGGGAAGTGTGATGGTATGTTGCACATTTGCCCCAATGTATGTTGGGAAACATGTACTATATGTGGAAACTCTTGAATGGACCACCAGATAGCCTCCAGAATGTCTTCTTGACTGTAACACATATGCATTGTTGACAAGGTCATTTAGAAGCACATTCTGTGGTGTTGGAAATTAGTCCTCCTTATTTCATTATTTGCTCAGAGTCCTTGGTACAAGGCTTGATTGAAACCTAATAAGCAAATGAGTTTTTCACTTCAATAAACCTTAATATCTGAAATAAAGTATGCTCCCTGCCCAAGTTACTTCCACTGCATTTTGCTACCTTTAGAAGCCAGTTTATGTTTATTTATTATGTTGCTATACCACCCAATATAAAAAGGGCATATAGTCAAGGCTATGGTTTTCCCAGTTACAATGTATGGCTGTGAAAGCTGGACCATAAGGAAGGCTGAGCGCTGAAGAACTGAGGCCTTTGAATTGTGGTGCTGGAGGAGACTCCTGCAAGTCCCTTGGACCGCAAGGCGATCAAACCGGTCAGTCCTAGAAGAGATCAACCCTGACTGCTCTTTCAAAGGCCAGATACTGAAGATGAAATTCAAATACTTTGGCCACCTAATGAAAAGGAAGGACTCACTGGAGAAGAGCCTAATGCTGGGAACAACAGATGGCAAAAGAAGAAGGGGGTGGCAGAGAATGATGCAGCTAGAAGGAGTCACTGAAGCAGTCGGCGTGAGCTTAAGTGGACTCCGGGGGATGGTGGAGGACAGGAAGGCCTGGAGGAATGTTGTCCATGGGGTCATGATGGGACGGATGCAGCTTCACAACTAACACCGACAACAACAACACCCAATAGCCAAAGCCCTCCAGCAGTTTACAAAAGACTAAAACATTAAAACCACAATATAAAACACAATAAGAGCAATGTAAAACATTTAACAATACACAAACCAGGTCCAATTTAACCTTTATCATATGGTATCAAATAACTGGGAGTGAAGGAAGTTTCAACTTGGTGTTAGAAGAATGGCTATATTAGCGCTGGGCAGACCTCAGTGAAGAAAATGTTCTACAATTAGAGGGAAGGTAACATGGAGAATCCCCCTCCCTTGTTGGCACCCTCCAAAACTCCCTCAGTGGTGGCACCTGGAGAAGAGCCTCAGCTGATGGTTGTAGTGTATAGGTAGGTTCATATTCGGAGAGGCACTTTATCATGTATGTAGGTCCTGAGTCATTACAGTTCAAAGCCAACACTCTAAATTGGATGTGCAAACATATCCAAAGGCATTTAGTGCCAACCAGGGCAAAACTGGTTTATAGATATTCAGAACTTCTGGTCCTCATAATTGATCTGGTTGCCACATGTTGCATAGCTGCAGCTCAACGATCCTCAAGGGCAGCCTTGCACAGAATGTACTCCAGTAATCTAACTTGGAAGGTTATTCTTGCCTAGATAGTGATAGAGCTGAGCCACCAAAAGAGGCTGATAGAAGGCTCTACGCTTCTGAAGCCACCTGAATCTCCACTGGCAAAGATGACTCCAGGGGAATCCCTAGGCTAGAACCCTAAGTCAGCTTATTAAAATGCTTCCAGTCCATTACTACAGCTAGGCACCGATATAGCTTATCCACACCACCTTATGATGATGAAAAGAAGAAAAGTGCCAAGGGTTTGTCTTGAAGGGACCTGAATTTATTTGATTGATTGATTGATTGATTGATGTCCTGCCTTTTTCCGACAAAGAGCTGAAGGCAGCTGACATCATTCTCCTCCTCCATCTTATCCCCACAACAACCACCCTGTGAGGTAGGTTGGGCTGAGAGTCTGTGACTGGCCCAAAGTCACCCAGTTGGCACCATGGCTGAGCGGGGACTCGAACCCCGATCGCCTGAGTCCCAGTCCCATGCTCTTAACCACGACACCACACTGGCTCTCAGGGAGCCATTGAATGAAACAGGGAGCCAATTCAGATTTTGAATCTTTTTTCTACCAACATCCTTCTTCAGTAAAATTTAAATTTTGCTGTTTGAAACTGTGTTGTCTCTTTTTTTATCACCTCTAAGAGTCAATCCACAAACTAACTAGATATTCAAGATATAAAGGTAAAGGTAATTTGGTGGAGGCAAGAAGACAACAAGAGATTTCCTGCTAATGATAGCAGAAAATAGCACAGGGAGGGAGGGGAAAAAGAAGCATGGAACTTTATTTTGCTGTTTTCCCTTTTACTTGCGGACAGGGTATTGCTGTTCTGTGACACACAGAAAATCCAAGGAATGTTTAAAGGTGCAAGAGATGGACAATGTTTACAGGTGTGATGGGTTGTTAGCACCACTCTTCTGGAAAGAGGCATGGTATTTATGTGAGTGGTGACAATTAGATGAAGCCACATCACCACCGTCTCCTCATTTCCCCCGATGCACTTTCATTTTCATCACTACCATCCTTACTTCAGTGCCATTTTAATAATTTTAAAACTTTTAAAATAAAAATGCAGACAATAGTGGTAGTGTCAGGAAAAGTGAGGCTACAACTTATATATCTAACAATCAGAGTTGTTACTTTGGAGAGAGAAGCAGGAAAAGGTTGAATATCTTGTAAAATTTGCAATCTTTTATTTGTCAATCCAGCTCCTGTGGACTGATGTGGAAAGAAGAAATGAGGAGCTGCTTTGAAAGCAAGAACACTGACATATCCCAGTCAGATTTCTGACTCCTCCAACTTCTCTGTCACCACATTTTTGTGTAAAAAAAAAAGAATATCAGACAAGAAGCAAATGGAGAAGCTGCTCTTGCCTGTCCATCCAAATGGGCTTGAGCAGACATACAGAATGCTTCCTGATTTGCTTTGCTAGATGCCTCACACCAGTCAATAGTTTATTATCTGTGCTGT